AGCATTTATTTCTGCTCATTTAATTTACTGTGGGAGAACTGAACAATTTGGTAACTTTTTGACATGAGGGGCACAGTTGGAACTACTCAGCAGTTAGAGTAGATGATAAAATATAGGAATAAAGCAAAATAAAAAAAATGTTTCAAACATAAGAGACATCATCATTAATATCAATATGAGACTGTTTATTAAAAAAAGTCATTTGAAATTACAATGGGTGTGTTATGTATCAAAGAAGAATCACCGGCTTGATTGAGAATGGAAACCTAAATCAGTTGTGAAAACTGAGAAATTTCCATAAGAGGATGTTATCCATCCAAACCACTGAAAAAACAATGTGTATGAAAATACCAGTCAATACAGTCTGATGGGACTATTAACAGTGTCTGGACTATTGTTTGTTTTCATACATTTTGAGATCTCTAAAAGTAACAACTTAATCTCTTAATAGGTACCAAAGGATGGAAATACCAGTTTGAAAGCAATAAAAATAATTCATTACTCTTGAGACAAGTTATTTGAGTTCTCCAGAACTTTTTGAGCAAAATAAGGATTTATACCAACTAGGAATGCTTTGGGTGGAAATTAGTCATATTTGTGAGGGTATAAGGAAGAATTATTATATTTTCCCAATATTGATAATCGTATTGATATTTAAAGGTGTATTCACTTAAAAGTAATAACAAAAATGATTACTAAAAAGCAATATACAACATACTACATACAGCATGACTACATATATATGAAATATCCAAAAAAGCCAATTTTATCGAGGCATTTGATTCCATGTATATGGGAACAGATATTAACAATAAATGGGTACAAAGGATCTCAATGGAGTAATGAAAATGTTTTAAAACTGGTTTGTAAGAATGCTTGCTTGACTTGATAAATTGACTAAACGTTATAGAATTGTAAACTTTCAATGAGTGACTTATATAGTATGTAAAATGTGCCTCAGTTAAGTTGTAGAAAATAAAAGGATCACTAACTTTTAAAGGAGAGCTGCTATTGAAGTGGTCACTTAATCTGTGATAGTTTGTGGTGAAGTGTCAACAAACTCTTTGGATAAATTGCTTAATATCTCTGAAACTTAAGTTTCTTCATCAAGGAGTTGTGGATAAAAATAACATTTACCTAATATAGCTGTTTTGAAAGTTAAAAAATAATCCATGAAAAAAAAATATGTGCAATGTATTTTGATGTACAAGTACTAGGTATAGAAGCTCTAATGGGGTATGAATTAGTCGAAAACTAAAGAGAAATCGTAATTGAGAGAAATAAAGAAATGCATCCTAAAGAAATGGACTGATAGAGAATGGTACTTGGAAAATGATCATAAATGTATATTGATTATCAATTTCATCCAGGATGTTTTACTTCTGAGTCATGACAGAAACTTCTCCCATCTCACAGTTCTGACAGAAAATACATAGAAAAACAAAAACATACTAATTCATCAAGTTTGAAATGTCTTTGATCATCAGAGAAAACTACACATAGTGAAAATGTATGGAGAAAAGCATCTCTGCATATATGACAAATACTATTAAATATTATAGATAAATAAAGTTTTGTATGTGTTTCAAAAATGAATACTTGGCAAGTGCATTTTAATGTACGATTACGTAAATGTTTCATTCGCTGTCTTTCAAATGCATATTTGTGTCTCTTTTCAAATCAACCCTGATTCTTGGGATGAGTATTAGATTACCAAAAAACCCAAAATCCTACCTAAGCCAAATAGGAGCTCTTGTGACCTTGAAAAATGCTTTAATACTGAGCTTTAATTTTCACAGAAATGGGGACAGAAATAAAATGTGCATTTTCAAACACTATTTTATGTGAAATTACTTTATAAACACATGGCTATAGGCAAAAAAGAAATGTACCACTTTTACCAGTTTATTTGTAAGAAGAAAGAGAATGTTAGGCAAAGTCTAGGTTGGAAATGTGAAATTGAACAGGAAAAAATACCTTTGTCCTGAACCTCCATAGGTAACATCTGTGCAATTTACAGTAGTGAAAGGACAATGGACAAAATATAGGAAAAAAAATCAAATTTAACAAATAATGAGGACTGCATACATCAAAAGGAGCTTAAATTTAAAACTGCCGCATTCTTTTTGGCTAGCTCTATGTGGCTGCATATTTGCATGTCTAGTAATAGCCTCAATTATATATTCAATAAAGACCATTTCATTATGTGATCAATGCATTCATTCTTATGGCAAAGTGTATGTTTTTATCTCATTTTTATATTGTACAAGACAAGGAAGCTAAACTGTTTCAAGGTTTTAGCCATTATTACACAATTAACTGGTTCCAAAGAAAGATCATTTAAAAAAAATAGCTAGTGCTGGGAAAAGAATATTAAATTCTTTTTATTTGAAATACTCTAAGCTATTTTCAAAGCATATTTATTAGGAGTTGCATTGAGAGTCCAATAACTTTTTATATGGTTGTTACTCAGGGCCACAGTCTCCAGGAAGATTTTTATAGATGGGCTCCATGAAGTCTGTGGGAACTCTGATTTGCAATTTCAAAAATATATATATCTGCAAGTATATGAATTTTTCTGGAGCAGGCCTATAGCTTTTAAATGACACTCAAAGGAGTCCAAACATAAAGCCTTTTAGAACTTTTAGAACTTGATAAATGAAATAGTTAAAGCAGCAAATATATTTCAGTTGTCAATAACCACGCTTAAGGCTACCGCATATTTTCAAAATGATTAAAATAAGTAATTGCCGAAAGGCACAATATTACATGCATGTATTAAAGACATATATTTAAGAACTTCCTCTTAAATGTATCAATTAATAGTGATGTTTATAAATGAATTAATATTAAAATTCTTACAATTCTATGTAAGACATGAGCTAATAATGCAAAGAAGGTAACACATGGTTATCAGAACAAAACATACATTTTCCAGTTTTTATTATTTTTGATATTTTAAAAATAAAATACATATATAATTTTGTTTAATATATATTTACACTAAAAATGGCAAATTGAATATAGTTGCTCCATGATTTTTACGAACTACAGGGATAATACATTTATTTTAAATATCATATACAGAGTTTTTGTGAAAAAAATCAAAAAAACACAAATGTCAGGTGTTGTTTCCCATTATATAGGGAACACACTTTGTTCTATTTTGCAAGTATGTCAAGAGAAAAAAAATGAAATAAAATACTAAAATTTACCTTAGTATGCATCTTAACATATAACAAGATTATTTAAAATATTTTTGGAAAAAAACTATAAATTATTATTGCTGATATATATTTTAAGAATAAATCGGTCCTAAGGAGTGGCCTCTCATTTATTAAAAAAAGCATTATTGAGTGCCTACTATGTACCAGGAATTCTGCCAGCTTTCTTTTGAATTTGAGGCATTTTATTGAATCCCATTTGGTGTACACAACTTCTAATTTTATGCCCTCTTCCACCAAAACAATCAAACAAACAGTCAGCTTACAAATCTTCTGCTAGGATAGTTGCTAAGTGTGGCACGTGAAACATATTAAATCATGCATATGCTGATGATTCACTTAGCAAAACACACATACCACAACATAGGTAATCTATAAGAACTCATTAAATAAATGAAGTGTGGAATTACCCTTTTCTAGGGACAGTCATAGTATTTTAATGTGATCAAAAGAAAAGTTAAATAATGACTCATTTAAACTAACTTGATAATTCTGAATTTATTTATATGTTCATACGAATAAATAGCTACTCTGATATTTTCAAAAACTAAATGGTGGTGGTTGTGCTTTAAGAAATTTTAAATAGCAAAAGTGGCTATAGGAGAAATAATGATCTCTGCTTATGATACTTAGGTTATTGGCAATACTGATTAATGTTAATTTTAAAAACTATCTCTATGCAAAAATTTAATACCAAAATGTGTTACATTATTCAAATAACCTCAAAAATAATTGTCACATTATCAAGTCTTAAAATCTGATTGTATAAAAGATAACTAAACTGATTAAATTTAATAAATAACATAAATTTAATGTTTTTCAGTATAGAAGAATTAATGCTTCAATCATTTTCAATATGTCTGAACTTATGCATAAAATATATTCCATACCTAAATGCATATGTATTAGAATGCATTTATATGTGGGTATATAAATGTATGAACATATATCATATACAACTATATCTCTAAGATTAATCACCATATTTCTAGTGATTAATAATTAAGAGGATAAACTGGTTGTATTGTTCATAAAAATATACTGTTGGTTAGTCATAAATTCCTTCCTTCCCTTGTACCCCATTATTTTCAGTTAAAAATCACCTGCTTCTAAAATGATCAATAATACACATTTAGCCAGTATGTATCAGAATATTAATATTCAATTTAATAGCAAAATACATATATGAAGTGAAATTAAGTGATGAACGTTATTTGGATAATGCATTTTGTCAATGTGCATTGACAAAATATGTACTACATGTAAATAAAACTATGGGCAAAATCTTTGTAAAGAATTACAGCTCATGAAAAAATGTTAAAGAGTAAAAGAATGGATAGAACTTCTGGAAACCATTAAAATAGAAAACAATTTCAGGGAACAAATCAAAGGAGAAAATACTATTTGAAATCACTTCTTTTTTTATAGAAAAGCATGTGCTATCTTGGGTTTTTAAACATTTAACTAAGATACCAACAAGCCACTTGGTTAGTTCTTGTTTACATTCACATTTCACTACTTGATTATGCAAAATATTTTTATGTATGGGTGGAACAGGAAAAACACGCTGTTTTGTGTGCAGCATCAGAACCTCAAAGCAAGCTGACAGTATTTTCACTCAACTAGATTTACCAAATGGACCTGAGTAAATTCCTCTTTTTATGAAAAAAACACGGGCAGAAACAAAACAAAACTAGCAAATAGAGCAGAATGGGCTATATACCATGGATTAAAATAAATATAAGACTAAAAGCAATTTTGGAACATGCATTCTACATTTATGATTAGCAATTTTTCACCTCTGTTCTTTCAATGAATATCCTTACAAAACGGGACCCTTTTCAAATGAAAGATGCTGGGACTTTTAAATGGTATCAATGATTATTTTGTTGTATTTTTGTTTTTAATTAGCATATACATAAAATAATCTATAAATTGGAAATTTATTTGCTATGTACATTTAATTGAATTTCCCACTTCTATTGTAGGGAATCAAAACATAAAACACATAGCTGAAGAAATGCATCCATACACAGCAGGGTAGAGGTAATGTGTTTCTCCGTGGTAATAGCCAAGTGGTTGTATCTCAGCTGGTTTCATAAGGTGATATTAAACACTGTGGTGACTCATGATGGTACAGAGTTTTGTCCTCGACCCAGGAATCTAAATTTTTTTTTAGCAAAATAAGTGTCTGTCCTCTAGTGAGCAAACCTAAACCAAGTCTGTATCTTTATATTTACTGTATTTGAGTGTCTAGCTTTATCTTTTCTCAATAGCATGTCAAAAGAAATTTATTGCAAACTTTTACTATTAAATATCTTAAATAACAGCTATAAATTGAGCACAAAAGTGTTTAACAGACCTGCATATATTTTCTCCACGTCACCTCCTTGTAACTGCTTCTCTGCCGTCTAGAATGCTCAAAGTGCAAATTGCTTGAGATTCCGAGGCTGAAAAGCGGACATAACGAGTTCCTAGGGGTTGGGAGAGTGAGGGGAAGCCCAGCTCATACTCTTTAGCCTAAGGTTCCACACGTGTGAGCAATTCATCACTTAGGAGGAGAATGACCTCCTATTTACACAGGGGCTAGCTATTTACCAAACCACATGTTTCCACTCATCATTTTATCAGCAAGATTAAGGTCAGGAAATCCTTATTAGAAGACCAGAGCACAATTTCAAAAAATGTTCACAAACAAATTCAACACAAAGTCTCAACATTGTACAAAACAATTTCTGAAACTTTATTGTGAATTTTAGGGTACATTTAGTAAAGAATGTTATCCTTAATATAATTAATTAAAAATAAATTGGAAAGAAATGCACATACTACTTTTTTAAAGCAAGAATAAGTACAGACTTTTGAAGCCACAATATATACAATTATATGAGTGCAATAAGCTTTCAAATACATTAGGTATATATCTGTTTAAATAAATAGTAGAATACTTGATTTGACATGTGAGAGTCATACTGATTACACCAAAAATGTTTTACAAAATATAGCCAAAAATGGAACGTTATACATTTTGATATACAAGTCTTTAAATACTTTATATATTCATTACTACTTAATTCAAATTATAGTGTACAAAAGTCCATTTTAATAAGGATAAGTTTTAATTGTGTGTTTACCACTGTTCAGCAAATATAGATATTAAGATGCATCCCTGTATGTTACTAAATTCCCATTCAATTTAAATCATTATCACAGGGACGAAAGAAATCTACCAATTTTTAACAGTAATAATTTTTATTGATAAATTATCCATAAAACATATTTCAACATTATTTTGGCTATTTTAAATTTTCTAAAATGTATCACCTAGTTCTTGAGCCAATTTGTTTTTATGCAATAAAAACAATTTGAATTCAAAATAGAAATATATTGCTACATTGAGCTTCTTATCTACTCTGCAATATACATATTTTAAATACCTTTAATTATCAATTTTCAATTGGTAAATTTTCCCCTATAATTCTTCAATAATAATGCTTTGTTTAGTACCTTACTAATTATGTCAAAAATTCATTTCACAAGGTAGCAATTGAATATACTGTATTGTAAATGTTACCTATAGACTAATAGTATTACAGGAAAATGTGATGTCAAGGGTTTTACATTTATTATTATTCATACATTATAGTACAACAAGTGAGATATTTTTCAGCCACATTTAATTATTTTTTTTACATAGTTACACATGGCAATTTATTTGGGGTATGTAAAAATGTGGCTATTTTTCAGAAATAAAATAATGTAAATTATCAAGTTTTTTAAAAATTGAAGCAATACTGTTATTTTCTATAGAATTCTTTAAAGAGTGACAGAAAGGAAAAGCAAACACTCATACCAACCTATCTTGGTGTGGTGAGGTGGGGAGGACCATTCAACCATCACTTCCTAAAAATTACTTAGGCAATAATGATTGAAAAAAATGTACTTTACTCTTAAATAATGAGCAATACGATTATCTGGCTCTGTCTACAAAAACTGCCTGGTAATATTAGAAAACGATTATAGAATGAATTATTGTTGTTATTTTTTATATCTGGACCACAAAAGCAATATGAGAAAATCTATTATAATGTGAATTGAAGTTGGATTTTTATATTTTTGTTAATAAAATATTAAGATATTACCACATCTAAGAGCACATCTAAAAACAATAAAGACAGCTTAAATTCTCCTAAACCTCCCTAGTACCAATTGCCCACTGTTTTAATGGAGCAGTACCACATGTCAAGCACCCAGTCAATCTCTATAACTCACAAAGTTGCCTCTTAATGGTCAGAATGGAGAGCATATACACTTTCTGCAAGAAGTCAGGTGGCATGAGGGAGGCTTAGTAGTGGACACACACAAATGCAGATTTATCTAATTTAGTGAGGGCCATAAAACTGTAATACAGGGGCTTTGCATGGAATAAACATGGCACCTTATTTTTCAGTCAGAGAGAAATGCCATCAGAGCTATTCATATTCGATTTATGAGAAGAAGAAATGGCCTGATGTATGAGTGAGGGTGTTCATTTTGCCATATTTGCATTAGAGTTTTCTCTGTGTGTGCCTGTGTGTATGTGAATATGTGAGTATCTTGGTATATTGCCAGAGTAATAAAGAGATTAAATATAATTCAGGTAACATATGATTGCCAAAGAGGATCTGATTTCTTGCCCTGTGAAATGAACAGGGGTTAATGAAGCAAATCTCTATGTTGTCTCGATACAGGGCTTTAAGATCTTGCCAGAAGCAAAGCAATGATTCTTTCAACTGTAAAGTGTGTACACATTCACTCAAAATAAGACATTCCAGTCTTTTGACCATTCTCTCACAATTTTAGAAACTAAATAAAAGAACTTCAAATATCCTCTAATTCTTTCTTAATTTTTGAAACTAAATAAATATAAACAAAGTTTCATAAGCTACAAGTAGTCTTAAATAGGCTAACAAATTTACTGAAAGTTTAAGACAATCATTTTATCTGCATCCTGAACTCCATCATCATGGTTAATAAACTTTGTAATTCTGTTTTAATGCCATCCTGTATATATATTTAAAAAATTCATTTACAATCACCTTAAGTATAGCATATTTAACAAGATTGTGATATCTCTCTTTTCCAAATAATCATCTTAAATTTGGCATATTCCTGACCTTTTGGCTTTAAAATCACAATTTCAGGAGGTAACAAGGAAAAACAAGCTTTAAAAAATACTGTGATTTACTGGAATACCATTGTCTAAGCGAGCTGGGTCTGTAAAGGTGATGCAAAATAATTTTAATATTGCTGTAGTTTACTTTTCTAATTCTTGCATAGCTTTTAAACACATTTTGTGGTTAAAAAATAAAATGCATGCAATTAAAGAATCTACCTCTTCCCCTGAATATGTATCACAAGAAAACCACATTGTAAAAATCTAAAGATTAACCCTCCTATCATAAATTATCTATAAATATGTGTAAGAGCTTACCAAATTAAAGTCTGAGATCAGAAATTTTATTAAAGCACCTCTATGGAAATAATCAATTTGCAATAATGACAATCAAGTTTTCACATAACTTGGAAAATAAAAACCCACAGCCTTGGTGGTAGAAAATATTGCCATAAATCTACATATGATAGGTAAACTTTGTGGTAGAAAAAAAAAGAAACAGTAGGCATTAGGGCAGCTCAATGTATTGGAGTTAAACATTCTTATTAAAACTTTAAAAAGGCGTGGAAAAAATAATGTCCCCTCAGAGTTATTTCATAAAGCAAAATGAATATGATTACATATAAGGCTGGTCATCGTTTTTATATCTAACCTGTTTTACTTATTATGAATATAGAGTAAGCACAGTTTTTCTTTAAGTAGTTTCGAGAGATAAAAGTGGCCACAGTTAAATGGGTAAAATTATACACTGCACACAGTATTGGCTCACTCAATTGAATAACCCCTCCTTATTTGTGAAAAATGATGTATGTATTTGATGAGAAAAAATTATCATGCCAGCTTTAGTTAGATAGCTGTTTTTCACTTATCTTTTCATTCATTTTCTTGAAATTCTGAAGGTGCAAAGGCTAGGAGCTGATGCCCATTTGCCTTGTCTACTACATCACCGCAGAAAAATCATTACAGAATTTTCACTTCACTTGCATAGTGTTGTCCAGTTCCATTAATCCTCTCACGTCATTCCTCAACTGCCTAGAATTGATGTATATTAATCCATAATTGTGGAGGTAGAAAACAAAGTGCATGCTGAAAACTTCTGCTTTCCTGAAGGCAGAAATTTCCAATGCTCACACTATTTAATTTGGCTCTTGTAATGTCCATTTGGATCCAGCCTGCCTGCCTGTCACACTCATAACCAATAAGCATAATGTCACTACAAATTATCACCAACATCCAGAATGTCAGTGCAAAATTAATTATCTTTTTCACAAAATCTTGAACATTAGTCCCTGGATAAAGGAAAACCCCAGCTATATTTTAAGTAATCTGAAGAACTAATTTAACATATCAGGTTAGGCCACTGTATTCATGTCTGTATGACAGAGTTTTGTTTTTCAAATCCGAACTGGAAATTCTATCAGAAGAATGTAAACCTATAGTGAAACCAAAACAATTTGGCACTCTTCCATGAAAATCTGCTAAAAAGCGATTACTTAAAGTGTTTGCTTATGTTTGGTCTAATTAAACATGAGTTCCATTGAAGAGTACTTCTTTTTTTAAAAAATGTTTCTCTAAACATGACTCTTTAAACAAATGGATAGATAAAAACTTCCTCATATCCTCACCATAAAT